CGAGCGTGCTGACAACTGACGAAAAAATACTAGAATGCTGTGGGTGAGGTCGCATGCAGTTGGGTATAAAAGGCACAGAGCCAGTATACGTTGAGGCCCTGGTCGTAGACACGCAGGTGTTGGGGTTTAGCTTGGGATTGACGCTGTAACAGCGGCGGGTTGGGTTACCATCACATCAGCAGGAGTAGTGAGCTTTGTTGAGAAACAAGGCGGCCGTGCGCGCAGCAATCTGTCTTGACGAACCAGAATTCCGTGCGGAGTTCGACCAAACACAATCATTGGACTGCTAAGTGGAAATGGTCTGGGGTAAGGGGGCCAGATCTTCTTCAAAATATATCGGAGTAACGAGTTCCAAAATGTGTCAGATGGAGCTACGAGTTACATTCGTTATTCCACCAGCTCAGGCTTTAGCAAGCGAACCCACCTTTCTACGTAGACAAAGGTGAATCTTCTCCATTTCCATAGTAATTCACTAGTAAGAAGCAAGTCACATTAACACAGCTTCTTCCCAAGAACTACTACTTTGTAGAACAAACACCTGGCAGGATGTTTTTCCGCTCACCGTCTTCAAGTCTATGGTTAACCTTTATTTTTCTCACATAACCACATGAATTTCGCTTGTCTTTCTTTAGGCTCAGGCAATACCAGACAATAATTCTCTATCTTAAGTGGCTCTTGAGTCTTGTATTGGGTGAACATTAGTATACAAAACAATTTCTTTTAATCAGCATTCCAATTCCTATTTTGTTTGGTCTTGGACATTGTGCCATTTTGGAAGACACTAATACGTTAGGCACCAAGCTAACCTCAAAATTTCGAAATATGAGGAGACAAAGAAAAAAAATCTATCAATATAAATATGCACTTTATTTTTAAAAGGTATATGTGGAGTGTCTGATGCTTTTTCAAGTTGACCATGCAGTGAGTGCCCAGATGATTATGCGACCCCCAGATCGAGTAGAATGTATTGATTCACTTCGCCAGTCCCACTGCGTCGTCCATGGCTGTATTTTCTGCTCTCACCATCTACCATTTCCAAAGATATTGCAAAAGATTGTGTCTTTCAGCAGATCAAACTTGATCCGTCCATACTTCCTGCTTTTCGTCATTCCTTTCCTTCGCCCAGGCCCGACCATGTCCCTCTCCTCTCCTTTTAAGAAGTATTAGATTGCCTTGCCATGCGAACTTAAACCTTCATCATCCGGATATTACTTGGCTTATTGAAAAATTTTCAGCAGAGTTTGTTGATTTTCCTAGTGTACTTGTTTATGATAGATAGAACGTGAATACAGGAATCGACACTTCATGAGAACTGCCAGTTTCGCGTTTCAAGTGCTCATCATATATAGGTTCACCAGCGATTTGATTTTCAAATCAAGTGGCAGTATTCATTAGCGGGCTGAATATATAGGTTTTTGAGGGATTAATGAAAATGAGTCGGAGCCTGTCCCTGCTTGTTTTTTTTGTTTATGCTTGTTGGATGGTTGGATTAAGCGAGTCTGATAAGAGGTTAAGATTATTTATGGCGGGTATATCAAATACCTCTGAGATGTGAAGTCCTTCACTTGCGTAGTTCACTGTCCATTAGAATACGGGTAGAGTGAGCTGGTTAGCCTTGCTTGGCAGTCTGTATAACAAAGATCACAGTGATTTAAAAACCGGCGTAGGTGGGATTCCGTTCTCACCTTATGAAATTTTCTCGATGAGAATCATGGACATAGTGGATAGCGGCAGGCAATGGGAAATCAGAGAGCCGAGTTCGAATTCAATCTCTTCTCCCATTAGCTATATTTGTAACCTATTATATATTGTTGCAATATGGGAGGGAAGTAAAACGGATTAACACATCTAATACCCCCCCAAATGGCTTGTTTATTTTAACGCCCTAAAAATCAGTTAACTTATTTGGAACTGATTGCATAGAAACATTCAATCTTTGGGATTGCCCAATGAGTACATTTGGTCGCAAGATACAAAGTACAACGACCAATTTGGTAAATCTAAAAAAGGAACTCAAACAACAATTTCCCCAGGTTTTTTTCTGGCGGCCTTAGGAAATGTACTAAAATGAAAGCTAAGTTCAAGGTGAAGGACGGTGCACAACCGGTATTCAAAAAGAAACGGGATGTCCATTTCGCTGCTCTAGAGCAAATAAACAAAGAGTTATACTCGAACAAGCAGGTATTCTGTCAAAAACAGATTTCAGCGAGTGAGCAGCACCTACGGTCTACGTAAAAAAGAAGTCCAATCCAATACGAATATGCGCAGATTTTTCCACAGGGTTAAACGATGCCTTGCAAGATCACCACTATCCTCTCCCAAGCCCTGAAGAAATTTTCAATAAACTCAATGGTGGAAATTTTTTTTCTAAAATTGACCTCTCGGACGCATAACTTCAGATAGAGGTGGAAGAAGAAAGTTCCAAATTGCTCTGCATAAACACCCATAGAGGGTTGTACAAATACAACAGGTTGGCTTTTGGAGTAAAGGTTGCGCCTGCAATTTTTCAGCAGGTCATGGACGCCATGCTGGGCGACCTTGACTACGCAACAGCCTATTTGGATGATATTCTGGTTACCAGTAAAACTATGTCAGAGCACCGGAACCATATAATAAACGTATTCGAAAAATACAAGAATACGGATTTAAGGTTAAGGAGGCAAAGTGTGACTTTTTCTTACCAGAGATTAAATACTTAGGGCACATTATAAATAAAGACGGTCGTCGGCCGGATCCAGAAAGAGCCAACGCGATCAGAAACATGCCGGCCCCAGATAACGTTCAAGCGTTACAAAGCTTCCTCAGCCTAGCTAACTTTTACCAAGGGTTCATTAAGAACATTCAAAATTTGCGAGGGCCTCTCAACCAACTCTTAAAAAAGGACAAACTATGGTCATGGCCCCCGGAATGCCAAGACGCATTCGAGAAGATCAAGAAAACTCTTACGTCAGACCTCTCCCTCATCCATTACGACGCTAGTCTCGACATCATAGTCGCAAGTGATGCAAGCTCGTACGGTATTGGTGCTTGCATTCTGTATAAACTGCCATATGGTTCGCGAAAATCTGTGGCTCACGCATCAAGATCTCTACTTCCAGCTGAGAAACAATATTTCTCTATTAGAAAGAGGCTCTAGGGTTAATATTCGCTGCGACAAAGTTTCACAGATATCTAAATGGTAGACGGTTCATACTGCAGACGGACAAACCTCTAATTACAATTTTTGGTTCTAAAAAAAGGTCTGACAGTCTATACTGCAAATAGACTACTTCGTTGGGGAACGATTCTCTTAAACTATAATTTCAAGATAGAGTTCCTAACATCCAAAAATATTTGCCATGCAGACAGTTTATCGCGACTCATTCCAAAAAATACAGAAGTCTTTGAAGACTCCATCATTGCTACTCTAAGGACAAATTGTGAAATCAAAAACATGATCGCGAGTACCATAAGTGAGCTCCCAGTTACTTTGGCTGACATAAAAATGGAGTCTCGAGAGGATGAATTCATTCAATCAATAAAAAGCCAAATTCGAAACAAAGACCCCAATGTGCCTGAAGTTTTCTCCCTCTGCGATGATGTCCTAATATATAATGACCGCGTAGTGATTCCAAACAGCCTACAAAGAAAAATCCTCAGAGATTTTCACATGGTACATCCAGGGAAGAACCGTACGAAAAGCCTCATGCGTTGCTATGTTTATTGGCCAAACATGGACAAGAACATTGCAGACATGATATAATCATGCAAAGGATGCACGCTTGCAACAAAAGCTCCAACCACGACGTGCAAACCATGGCCCAAAACAGATCATCCTTGGCAAAGAATTCATATCGATTTTGCAGGTCCTAGGACATGTACTATCTCATTGTTGTGGATAGCCACTCAAAATGGCCTGAGGTCCTACAATGTAAAAGACCAACTGCACGATCGGATTTCTACACGAGCTATTCGCGCGTTTTGGCGTGGTAGATTGTGTAGTTACAGATAATGGCACTCAATTCACATCAAGTGAATTTAGAAACTTCTGCAAGTCATATCAGGTGGATCACATTACAAGGCCTCATTACCACCCGAGGTCAAATGGCCAGGCCACAAGGTTCGTGGACATTTTAAAAAGGGCTTTAAAAAGGCACTAGGCACACCGACAGATAGGGCATTGCAACAATTTCTGCAAGTGTATCGGATACCCCCTAATCCGAACACGCCTATGGGAAGCTCGCCTGCAGAAACAATGTTCGCAAGGAAAACTTATTCCACGGCAAGTAAAGTTCAAAGAAACCGTATCGCCTCATAGGAAATATTTCAATCCTGGCGATAGGGTCTTTTTCAAGGCGTACGAGAACAATATGACATTCTGGGCAGTGGGCACCATAAAGCAGATAATTGGCGAACTGGTATATATGGTCCAAGGACCAAAAAACATTCACAAACGCCATTGGAACCAGCTCAGAAAATGCCGTTTGAAGGAATCGGAGGAATCACTACAAAATAACTGTGAAGAGCCGATCGACGTAATTTTCGATCACTTCGATCTCGACATGCCCCAAGTCTCTCCTGAAGTGCGACGCCCAGAAAGGAAAAGGAAATTCACTCAACCGCTCGACGTAAATCCCAAGAGGAAAAAGTATTAAGTTTTATTTTTTTCTCTCCTTTTCAAAAAGAAAACTCTTTGGAAGGGGGGTATTGTGAGACCGGAAACTACCTACACAATAGACACTTCCAGGCCTATATTAAGTAGGCGACATAACGCTCTAAAGAGTGACAGAGAGAGACAGTGAGAGTCTCGTACGACTACCAGTATTGGACACTAACATATAGTAAGCTCCGCTTACACTATCTCTGTAACCTGTTGTTAATATATCTTTCTTACATCTAATCCGTGTTCCGTGTTTTCCTTCTGTGGTCCCAACTTTGGCCCCACATCAATCGTTATCTTCTGTCTTTTTTATTCCTGTTTTTTATTGTTCTCTCTCCTTAATAATGTTTTTTACTTTTTCTCACATTTCCCAGAAACTAAGCAAAGTATTGAGATAGAATACTAGCAATCGAAACGAGAGAGAGAGAGAGAGAGAGAGAGAGAGAGAGAGAGAGAGAGAGAGAGAATGCTCGAAAAGTTCCTTACAGATGAAGTGACTCGAAAGGACAGACATGAAGTTCTACAGAAGGATGCTGAGAATAACATGAATCGAAGATGGGAATAACGACAACGTTCTAAACAAAAGTTAATTAGGAAAAAAAATCTACATTATGAAGAAGGACGACTTGTAATATTTAACACTCACATGATGTATTGAGTGAAGTGGGAATACTGGAAACAGCGAGTAATTTACCTAAATACTTTGTGTGAATGGTTGGTAGAGTAAGGACATGCAATGATGGTAGAATATTCAAGAGCTACAAGTAATAGGAAGCGAAAGAACACGACACATAAATAAGGATGACATATGTGCACAAAAGGAATTAAGCGACTGCAACAGAACGAAAACAGGATAAAGGGCCTTTTTCACTTCAGGTTCAGTTATTTTTTTTTCTAATCCCCTTCAGCTTTCATTGTTACTGTTTTCATTCGTAGAAATCCAGTGTATAATCCCTCCACCCGGATTATCTCTCTTGGTGTTCTTCTTCTTCTATGTGCTGTGACAAGGATTATGGCTCTCAACAGTCTTTAGTAGCTCTTAATACATCTCTCATCTCCAGTTTCTACAAATGTGGAATCAGCAAGGCGTAACTTTAGTTACCCATTTTAATGATAATCCCTTCTCCTTCATAAATTTCATGTCGATAGTAAATCATTATATATATATATATATACATATATATATATATATATATATATATATATATATATATATATATATATATATATATATATATATATCCCTATTCAAAAAGCTTATTGCATTTACTGGTATTATTCAGAATTCGCTGCGGCATTCTGCTGGAAAATGTCTTCATGGGTTTGTTTGCTAAATCCCACTTTTATAATATAATGGATTAAATAAAGAGCTCGTAAGAAAGAATTGGGGAAAAAAAACAAGCGAAAACAATCGACTATTGACGAAAATACAGTACATAACATCCAAAGATCAAGTAATGTCCGGTAACTTGAGAAAAATCTGAGAAGGAAAAACGGAAATGAGAAAATCCATTCCTGGAAAATCTGTAAAAGGAAACGGTCAATATAAAATGAAAGACAACTATAAAGTATACAATTATGAAAGATTGAGGCGACCATTTTGTGATTCCTTGTTTTTATCCTCGAAGACTTCGTTCATCGGATAATGTTTCAAAACTTAAAACTAGTTATATAAAAAAAGTATTTCTTTCAACTGGGAAAATCCCGGTGAAAAGTTTGCAAAAAAATTTAATGCTAAAAATATACAGAAAAACTCTCACACAGATAATAATATGATTCAGGGATTGAATAAAGATTGTGAGTTCGACAACTATAAAATATTTGGGAATTTCTCTACTTCATTGTTAAATATTCAACTTTAACAGCTTTAGCAACATATTAGAATAATAATCATAAGCATCAATGAAGGTCATTATTTAAAGAAGTAAGAGGGTACAAATAAAAAGATTTGAAACTGATAAGTTTTTCCATTTCACAAGAACAGACGTTAAATAAATACCTGATAGCATTGTCACTTCCACTTTCTTTTGCTCATTGAAACCAAACGACGTCTCTGATATGTTCTTTCTGTTCTTAGATTACTTTTCTTGTTTGTAAAACATCTTGCGGTGTTGGATAGAAATACAACTAGCGCAACCTATTACATGTTTAGTTTCCTTATCTCCTATACTAAATGTTTTATCACTGATCTATACGCCAAGGTATTTGAAGTATTTATTAATTCCAGATCTTGAATTTTTATGATAGATTCAAGGTAGATACTATTCACTGTTTTCATTCCAATTCCAGATTTTTCAGCTTTTTTTTTTTGGAAAAGTTTGTCGTGGGTTCTATTTCTTGGAACGCTTGGTAGAAGTTTTTTTTGTTCACGGTTATTCTTATGCCAATTATGAATGCCTATGTCATCAGCATAGTTCCGCCATCATCATCTGTTCACTGGACTCGAGAGGAAAAACAAGAACGTTGTTTGCTATTAATAGAGTCTTTTGGGATATGGTGCCTGTCTCTTAATATCCGTGCTTGTATATACACAGACCATAGAATAGAATAGGAAAATACGAAATAGATTGGATCTCTCATTTTTTCCATGTCTTACACCTGAAGAGATTTGAAATAATTGTGCATTGTGATCCTCCACAGACATGTACGAATTTGTGGACATATATAATTTGATCAGATCTTGATGGATGAGAGTGGAAGTTTTGATGTGGTGACCAAGTAAATGGTTAAGAAACAGCAAAAAACAGGGTTGCACATATATCATATATTAAACAGAGTATTTCACGACTAGTGAGTGTGTGTGTCAGCGTTCAATCTACTCGATTGTTCCCCCAAGGTCTTCTCTCCTACTAATATTATAGTAGGCGGAAGAGTCCAACATAGATTCTTTAGAGGGAGGACACCACAACAGTAGGTATACAATTTTCTGTTACGGAGTTATACAATTTCTTGAGATTGTTTGGTGGTATATATGCGGCCATAACGCCTTATCGGATCTAAAACCAAATTGGATTTTGAGGAGTTAATTTTCATAAAACAATAAGAGCCTTGTTAATCCAATGCCCATTAATACTTAATGGATCCAAAAATAGGATCTAAAGATCTTGAGGAATAACTTTTTGTTTCCATAGTGCATTAATTCGCTATATACACCCGTGCTTTGGGGTCCACTTCATATTCTAGACTTCCTTGGTGAAAATTTGTGAATTAGGAGAGAGTCTATACTAAAAGCAAGAATAAAGATAGAAAAAGGAGGAGAAGGAAGAAAAGAAGACGCAGCAGCAGTAGTAGTAGTAGTAATAGAAGAAGAAGAAGAAGAAGAAGAAGAAGAAGAAGAAGAAAATAGTATTTAAAAAAGAAAGAAAAAAGTACGAGAAAAAAAAAAGAGAAGAAAAAGAAGAGTGGATAATGATGAAATTTTAAGAAAGGAAGAATAAAACTGCAAAAAAGTACTAAATAATAATGAAAACAACAGAAGGTAAGAGAGAAAAATGAGAGAAACACGACAGAAGAAAAATAAGTGCAGAAATTAGAATATAGACGGAAAAGGGAAAAACAAAATAATTCTAAAATTTGGTGGAAATAAGAAGATGAATTAAAAAATGATAATGATGAAGAGAAGAAATAGATGAAGCAGAAAATGTAAACAAGGTATAGATTTCTAAAATAAGAAGAAAACAGAAAGAAGAAAATGACCCTCAAGAATAATAGAAAAGAAATCATTCACCTATTCTTAGTCGTGACTTTTTCCAACAATTACTTTGCTTCGTATCACCGAAATTCATGAATGTTAAATTTACATCCTGTATTTTATCTCATTTTCTTTTTTTTTTCTTTTTTTTTAGTGATTCTTGCTGGTTTTTTTGTTGTTTTTTTTTACTCTTGGTTTTTCTTTTCTAGCGTTGCCATTTTGAAATTATTCGTGTTTTTCCTTTTCTCATCCATTAGTCAAATCCCACATCACGTCATAAGAAATCTTTTTTTTTTTTATTAATCGAAACGTTGACATGACTGGATATAGAGTAGATATAATCAGAGCACGTACTGTTTAATAAATCTAGTTAGTATTCTCTTTTCGTGTAAAACGTTTACGCATGCTAACTTAGAACCAAATTTTATTAATAAAGAATATGAATCTATCGAAGCGGTCGAAACTGCTAGTTTAAATTTCGAACAGCTTCATATCCCCTTAAAAGACACAGATTGAATTCCCTTAAATTTCTGTACCATGAAACGAAATACATTTTATACCATTGTTATATAATACGGAGTACAAGAGCCACAGAATGTAGATGGTTACTGAATAAGGTTGTTGTATGAGAGTAAAGGGAAGAAGTAATAAGTGCATCGTCCATGCTTAAAATATTGCTGCCACATATGGCCTGGTGTCGCTAATATTTATTTTTAGCTTCTTGATAAGATCCAAAGAAGAATCAGCAATATTATTAGTCCTGATCTTGTGGCTCGGCTTCAGTCGCTTTACCACTTCTGTAAGGTGCCTTTCTGTGTCTTCTCTATGAATACTTTCATGGTAATTGTTCAAATGAGCTCTTTGCTATGGTACCTAGATATTTTGAATTTAAGCGTAGTACAGTTGAGATAGCTAGATGTGTCTGTAAATTCTATGCTAAAAGTATTTTTCTCGCACTTCTCGCTTGTGGAACTCCCTTTCGGATCCATGCCTTTCAGTTAACATTATTCTGCAAAAATTTAAATGAAGCGTCAATCGCTATCTATTGTCCTCTCTGTTACTCTTTTCTATTCCCGCTCATTAGTAATGTGTCTTATTTTTTTCTTATTTTTCCACATCCTGTAACCCCCATGTTTCTTAGTGGCTTTACTGCCTTGCATGGGTGACACCGATTAAAAAAAAAGAAAGAAAAAAGATATGGTGTATGAATAACGGTTGACTGAAGAGGTTAAAATCGTAGTGATCCTCTCGGGTGTCATAACAGTTCTGGAGAACATCCTCCTTTCCAATAAAATATAAAGCGAGTGAGGATGATTTGACCTTGTGTCTGTGGCATACTGGGTTTTAACAGTAAAGATTTGAACAGGTGCAACGAACTAATGTAGCTTCTCTGAACATCTGTCATGAAAATAGCAATAAAATATCCAGTGGTGAGCAACGTTTTGTCCGTGGGAAAGGTGCTTCAGAGCGGAAATAATACTTTGCACACAATGCCGCGTAAACAGCTTTGACCGCTGTCAAGAGTGGATCCGAAATGCCTATCACTATTGAGTACTCCACACCAGATATGGGAACAATACCGTATTTTTGTTCTGATCTGACCCTTGTAAATTAGGGCAGGCCAAGAAGTGTTACTCTCTGGAAACGATACAAGGAACCAGTACCTTTAGTGATGGCATGAATATACCAGTTTTACTTGAAGTCTGGAGTGAATTTTCGTTGCCAAAGACGTTCCAGTCAAGGAGTCTCGTTTAGAGTATAATTGTTCATCAGGACTGTAGTAAATTTGGGTTCTGTTCGGTAATGATGATTCATTACGATCTTTACTTGGAGGTAGTGAATGATAAAAGCCAGTCTTTCCCTTATTCAAGTGTGGGAGCAACTTTAGCGGGAGTTCAGCTGTGGTCCTATGGTCTTTTCACATAATCGCATTCACTTAGATTAACCAATTAATGTCCAATGTAAAATCCGGTATTAAAAATCCGGCTTCTAAAAATCTTGTATTAATTATTAGTTTACAAAAATTAGATATTAAATATACGTTTCTGCGGATACACATTCTTTTTTTTCTTGAGCGATCATAGCTCTCCACAGCTTTCTATTCTTTATAAATCTAAGCAATGTTTTTCGGGCCAGTATCCCTCCCAGTCGATTTTCTGCTCTCAATTTACACAATATTGTTAGGCAGGTTATTTGATATTTTCTCTCTGTTTCTCTTCCCTTCAAAATGTCTTGTGAGTGTCAAATTCCACAAATCCACTTTCTTTGTCGCAGAAATTTCAACTATATGATTCTCAGTATAATTATCTTTTTTTATTTCCACTTTCTTTAAACCTTCCTCATTGTTCAGATGCTCCGTCCATGGTATTCTCAGCATCATTCTCTTGTTTCAAGTCTCTTTTTCTTTTATGAGAAGATTCTCCAGCATTCTCTACCATTTAGACGGTTTGAAAATGCATAGCGGTTCAATACTCTTATGCTTGAAACGAAATGTTCATGATTCTTAAGACTTTGCTTAGCTTTTGGAAGCAACTTTCGCTATTCCAATGCGCCTTCAGATTTCTCTGTTACAAAGTTACAGTACGTGTCGAATTTCTGAACATGGCCGTATATGGAAAATAAACATGCCTATGACTCTAGACACATACATACATACATACATACATATATGCATATATAAAACAATGCATATATTCAGTTAAAAATGAAATAAAATTCATTCTTGATAATAGCCGAAAGTGCTTGGAAAACATTCGAACAATTTTTATGTAATTTATGTCCTAAAAAGGAAAAAAAAATGATACGATAACGTGAGAAATTATTTCAAAAACTCAATCACCACACCTTGTCAGTCGTTTTCAACGAAATCTGCATAAAAGAGGGATTGATGCTCAAATACACAATATATATATATATATATATATATATATATATATATATATATATATATATATATATATATATGTAATATTTTTGGCACTTTTATACAAGTTTCATTAAAGTACTGTGATTAATCTTTTTATTCATTTTTCGTGTCTTCATATAGGTATTTTTTTTCTGGAAATAAAGTTTGTAAAAATATCTAAATGTTCTTCATATCCGAGCGCTTTCGGCTATTCTTTTAGTCATTATCGATGATGATTTTTATTTTTAATTCAATATATAGATTTTTTATGTATGTATCGAAAGTTATTGGAATGTTTTATTTTTGAAACACGGTCAACAGATTGTGGCCGTGTACATAATTGATGTTATTGAGTGTTGGCTTTTTCTACTTATTATTATTAGTGCTTCAATTTTTAAAAAATCTTTTTAGATGTAAATTATGCTATCCAAATATAACGAATTTAAATATGTGTATTTGTATATATGCGTATACATACATATATCTCTGATTGCATGGATTTGCATTAAATTGTAGACTACACAAAACAGCAATATGAAACTTGGCTTTTTTTTCTCAAGATTCGCACACGGACTTTTTTAATTAAACTAGTTGACCTACCCGGTATCTTCGGGATCTTCGAATCGGTCATATTTTTAGAAGATCAAAAATGTACATATCTAATCTTCTTTTATGTGGCATATCTCTTCATGACATGGACAATCATAACTCTCCGTAAATGCCATTCCTTTGTATCTGCTTACTATCCCTCCCAGGCCCTGTTTTACCATCCATTACACAAGCCTGATAGATAAGTTAAGTGACTGCTTCCCCTTGTACATCTTGCCTTCAGTATTTATTACATGTGAGTGTCAAATTCTTCAAGTAGTGACTTCCTCATTAAGAAATTCCACTTGTCTTTTTTTAGACTGTTCCCGTTCTTTAAAACTTCCTCGTTGCTGACATGTTTCACCCATCGTATTAAGAACATCCTTCTGTAGAACCACAACTCTGTTTGTTAAAATCACGTCTTCGTCTGTGAAGAAATTTCCCAGCATTCATTGGCATACTGGAAAAATGAAGGGAGACAGAACCTATGGTTGTCAGAAAAAAGAAACAGCCGAACAAATTGAAAACACCAAAATTAAGTAAGTACAAAAATTTAAATATCGTGGAAGTGTTTTAACAGAGAACGGAAAATGCAACAACGAATTTAGAAAGATAATTGTGATGACAAAATATGTCTTCCAAAAGCTAAGCAAACAAACAAAGAAAAATTTACTGAACTGCTGTGTAATGACAGTGAATACTCGTTAATCTCATCACAGAGGAAGTAAGAATTTGAGGTAATGTGATGTTACAGAAGGATACTGAGAATACCATGTGAGCAGCGAAAAGAGAAAATGAAAACTAAAAAGATACTTATACATTGCATCAGAAAGAGACAGTTGATATTTCTAAGGCACATAATGAGGAAAGATAGCTTAGAAAAATTGATACTCAAAGGACTTATTGAAGACAAAAAGGACAGAGGAAAGTATTTCTTAACTTATCTAATGAGAATGTGTAAATGAATCGCAGAAAAAGATAGGAGATATGGCAAAAAAACTTTACTAACAGCGACAAAAGACATGAAATTGTGGAGAGCCAATTTTCTTCCACATCCTGAATAGACACGACATATAGAAGAAGAATATTCAGAAGGTTAAATGACTAATCATAAAAATTCAACGTGCCACTTGCTAAATATTAAGGGAAAGCATTTTGTGGGGGTGTCAAGATTACACATGGTACTAACGGTCGGGGGTCGGTTAATAAAGCTAAAAAATGAATATATAAAATTTATATATATTTTCGCAGGAAATAGTCAGGTTGTATTTAACTCAGCTTGACGTCGACTAAATCAGTCATATTCATCTACTGATAAAATTAAAAATAAGCCATTATATGAATATATGTATGTTGCGTGCCAAATCATTCTCGATGGTAATTTATTCTTGGCACAATGTCTTAATCTAATCTCGAGTCATGACAATCACTGACTGATCCTGTGTCTCTCCAATGTTTTCCGAAACAGTCAAACATACAGACGGATCGATGAACACTTTACCAAACAGCGATGAAGCAAAAAAAAGAAACAATTGGTAA